TTGGTTTAGGAGAGCAGTTAACTTCGATTGCAGCGAGCGATATGGAGTCGATTACTTGATAAAAATTGATGATAAAAATTGATATGATGATGCACGAATCTTGGAGAGAGCTTCAACAGTAGGTAATTAGCGCAAGCATAGAAGCAGCCGATAGTAGAGACGTTGATCGAATCGGATTCGGATGGAAATTTTGGATGGCTCAGCAATCTGGATGGGTGCTTCGCTAGGTTCCTTTATGCTACGATTTTGTTCAACAACAACGAACAATTTCACGGAAACAACAGATCAAATTCAAAGTCGTCAGCGATTCTGAATAATGAAGTACGACGATGGGATGNCTGCAAAAAGGCGACAGAATCAAGCAGCAACACAAGAAAACGACGGAACGGCAGCAGCACAGACTAGGGTGGGAGGGACCTGGCTGACCAAAGAATATACACGCAGCAGGACTTAGGAAAACACTTTCTTAATGATACGTATTTAGAGATATATGAATTGACTAAGCGAGTATATAATATATCCTCCTCCTCCATTCTCAGATCATTGTGCACTTACAAAAAGTAGGCGGTGCAGACACTGATCAGCCAGCCATTTGCATGAAGAAAGATAAGGAGAGAGCATTTTTACATGAGAAGTCAAATGAAAGTGAACATTAATGAATGAATGACTTCAGTTATGAATACTACTAACAGTTTCGCCAAAATTGTCATGAACTGATCATAGAAGCTGATCAGCGACTGCATTCAAATCAGACTCCATATTTGTGTCACGCACCACCGATCAACGTACTCATTTAAAGTTGGATAAGATTTTGACAAAGCATTTCGAAATAGGCTAACCGGATATCGTATATGATACCTATTCCCTAAATATCATCTACTTATTTCTGATTTCCAATCCGTACCAAACGGATAAAATGATGTGTGGCGAAGAACACTGAACATTTTTAGAATCATAATTTTATGATGCGTTGCACATTTGCTGACAAGCAATTAAGCATAATATAACACCAAACAAAATAGAATCAATCATTGCGTATCAACGGATAAATAAATAACTTAATAAATAAACATAATTAATAAAATTTTCAAAAATTTCACAATATTCATCAATATCAATCATTCAAAACACACACACACACTCTTATAAGTACATACACATATACATATAGCGATACTGATTTCAACAAAACGCTCCGTTAACATTATCGGATCATTTGCAATCAGCAAGTGTAAAGTTTAGCAGTCGCGATCAAACTCTCTATCAACATATCATTTTAAAACTTGCACATTCATCTTCTATAAAACATAATATTAGCAATATCCACATTCACCGTTACAATTGAATGTTCATTAAAATGCAAAACATCAAATTCCAAAAACAAATCAACACTAACAAAGAATGATAATTCATAATAGCATCAGCAGCAGCGACCAAAAATATATATGGCTCTTAGCGATATCATTGGGAAAGTTTCGAATGAAATCCAATTATTTGAATTCTCTGAACGAGGACAGTTCAAGCAATGCAACTTTGTAAAACAACTGCAGTGACACTATCAGCAAAGAGCAAACGTGAGCCTTAGTTAGAACCTGTCTAACCTAGTTCTGCTTCTCATTTTGATCCGTTCGAAATATCTCGAAAAATTTCTTCACTTAATACCTAATGAACCTTCAGATAACGATCAAAGCAAAAAGACTCAAAATTTAAGCAATGCAGGAAAGGTTCTTTCATTTCGGTAGTTTTCTCTCATCTACGTGATCCATTTCAAGTCGGATTAATTGGGAATAAATGGAATCCTTTCGAAAACCTTTTGTAGTTTCTGAATATATTGAATGAACGAATAAATTGTCAAATGATCAACACAATAAAGCATCGTGAACAGTGATAATCATCGCGAAGGAAAAACATTTGAAATTCAAAAAATCGCAATTTTCGAGGAAGAAGCAATAAGGAACGCAAAATACAAACAAAATGCTTTGGCGATCGAACTGTAAAACACATTTTAGAAATCAACGTCTCTGGAGATAAATGAAAAACGTCAAGAAATGAAACCAGAAGAAAGCATACGGATAACGTCGAGATGACAAACATAATGGCAAATTATCATTATTGGAAAAAATTGATAATTTTCAATTCAAAGAACATGTTCGCGCACAATCCATCATAGACAGTCCACTGATCTCTGGGAAATAACCTCCACCTAACCAGTTCTGTCTCTAAAAATATTCCAGCATTTAAGAAGGATATTGTTCGTTTCAAGCGCCAGCTAAACTGACTTCAGAAGTCATATTCTCAAAATTCGCCCTCGCATAGAATCATTTAGTTTACGACAAAACTATCGATGCTTTTCGCTCACAATTCAACTTTCAACTATACGAAACCCTAAACTAGTAAATGTTCATACGAAATTATGATAGAATGAAACACAATAATGATCACGTAATGAAACAATGAAAGTAGGCAAACATTACAGCAACATGACATACTCATCATAAACACACATTCATCATAGAAGAGCATCAAAAACGAAACCATATTGAGACCAGATTGATGTACAAAAATCGATTATTTTGTTTTGTTCTGAACAAAAATTACAACAAGTCACACACACACATCAAAACAACAACAACATCTGCGATTATGACCGACCGAAAATATTACGAACGAAATCAGAAGAGCATCAAAAGAAATGCAATTGCAATGAATCTTCAGCGTACTTTGTCTCGACGAACAAACAACATTCAACATCCATAAACAACATTCTAAACAACCACAAC